ACTCAATGATACAGTGCCCCCGGATTCAATCCCCAGAACCACATATACACACACACACACACACACAAAAAAAAAAAAAAAAAAGTAAATTAAGGTTTCTTTAATACATCTGACAATAAAATTAGCTCAAAATAGTATGCTTCAACCTGTAAAGAGGCACAAGGGTCTGAGATTTATATGTAAATGTTTGAAAAATAAAAGAATATCACTTAAAAAATCATTGATTTGGTTAAGTATTCATAAAATAAAATGTAACACTTCTAAATTACAATTACATTTGTATGAAATGAAATACTTTTGGTAAAATACTTTTCAAATTTGGGGGAAAAAAACAGTAACCATATTCCTAAAGGAAATGCTTACTTGTTACAGCTAAAGTATGAATACTTTGAAATATACTCTTAAAATACATGTTTCCACATAGAAGCATTCAAAGATTACCAGAAGATTTTTTAAAAGAAAGTTTTCAAAAAATGTTTTCTTTGACCTAAATAGAAGTCATGTTTAATCTTATTCAGAACCAAGATTATACAAGCTGAATATAATCATTCTCTTTACAAATACAAAAAGTACCTAATTTATTATCAGTTGAACCAGAACAGATTACTTACAGAAGACAATGTTGATTTTTAAAAACCATAAAAAACTGAAGTGACTTAGCTATGTAAAGTGAATTACACAACTATACAACAAATTAGTGAGTACATACTAAAGGTGAAAAGAACCACAATAAATGAATTAAAAACTACTTAAACAGTAAGTAGTTTCCATTATTGGTTATAATCTTATGACTATTGTACAATGAGATTTAAATAGCAACAGAGAAATTATAAAGTAATGTATGCTAAAACAACAATTTAGTAACTTGAGTGTTGAAGTATACGTATAGTTCAATGGAGAGTGCTTGCCTAGTATGTACCAGGGTTCCATTCTCAGCATAAAAAATAAAAATAAAAATTTGAAAAGTCAAAATAAAATTAGTAACAAGTTATGATGAACAACAAGTAAGGTTGTACCTCAGTGGCAGAGCACTTGCCAAGCATGTGCAAGGCACTGGTTTGATGCTCAGCACTACATATAAATAAATAAAGATTTGTTGACAACTAAAAACTTAAAACATCAAAAAAATAAAGCTGAGATTACATCCCAGTTTTTTGGTACTTCCAGTCCATGTGATTAATGAGGTATAGTTTTTACAAGAGTCTTTGGATTATTAAAAAAAAAAAAAAAAACAGCAGCAGTGGCAGCTTCCCACTATTCAGTCCCTTCAGCTACAGGAGAGGAAAAAGAAATAACTGGGTAGGAAATTAAACTAAATAAGGTCATTTCAGTATATATATAGTCTTTAAAAAAAACCTCAAATCTGGGCTGGCGATATAGCTCAGTCAATACAGTGCTTGCCTCACAAGAACAAGGGCCTAGGTTCAATCCCTAGCACCACCAAATCTGAAAGAGTGTGGCACAATGTGTAAAAACAAATTCATAAAGCAGTGAAGTACTATCTAAAACAAAGTTTTCAAATTCTGATGAATATCTAAATAATGTGGATAACTTGCTTAACCACATATGGCTAAGTACTATCCCAAATGTCTGGACTCACAATCTATAAAAATACAGTTAGGGCTTTTTGTAGCTTGGCCAAGCCCCCCAGGTGATTATTATAAACCACCTAGCATGAGAATTGTTGTATGGTTAAGGACATAATCTTCAGTAGCAAAAAAATCTTGAGTTCAAATACCAATTCTAACACTTACCAGAGCTGTGACCATCAACTAGCCGCCCTAACATTTTATGTGGGTGAGGGGGTACTGGGCCTTTAACTCAAAGGCACTTTACTACTAAGCCACATCCCAGCCCTTTTTATTTTTCTATTTTGAGACAGGGTCTCACTAAGTTGCTTAGGACCTAAATTGCTGAGGCTAGCCTCGAACTTGTGATCCTCCCGCCTCAGCCTCCCAAGTCACTGGGATTACAGGCATGCCCACACCTAGCTACACTATTTCTATAAAATGGGATGGGGAGAACTGGGCATAGTGGCAAATTGCTATAATCCCAGCTATGTTGGAAGCTGAGGCAGGAGGATAAGTTTGGGGTCAGTCTCAGCAACTTAGCTAGACACTACCTCAAGATAAAATCAATAGGGCTGGGGAGTTAGCTTCATAGTAGAGCACCACAAAACCTCAAATGATTGTTTTGAGGACTGAAGATGCCAATGCATGTAGAATACTTAGAATAATTCTTAATGCTTACATTTGGTAAGCATTCAATGATTTCATTCATTTAAAAAACATTTACAAAGCATTTACACAGTACCAGGAGATGAGGAACAGCTAGTTAATTTAAGTATTAATTAATATGACAACTCTGAAATGGTGTCATGAGAACATACAATCAGGACAATCTATCCTCATCAGCAAAGTGTTCCCTAAAGTGAGCTCAATGATGAATAGATGTTACTGGATGAAAAGGAAAGGAAAAACATTTCCAGACTCTGAGATGTTTCCACAAAGTATAACCAAATGCCATGTACCCAAAGAAAGAAAGATGGACAAGGTAATCAAGGGAGAAAGGGAATGCCAGAAAGCACCATGGAGATGAAGTTAGAAAGGCAATCAGAAGGCCAACTAAAGGGGTTTACAGGGCATTTCAGTTTATGGAAAAAAAACAATGAGAAGCCACTGAAGGATTTTAAACACAGATACAATATGATTAGGTCTATTTTTTTAAATACTCGGTCTAGCAAGTTAAAAAAACAAAGGTGGCCAAAGTAGATGCAGGAAGCTAATAAAGCAGCTCAGAGGAGAGATGATAATGGTGGCTGAAACTAGAAAATGAGAGTTGAAGATCTCTCTTGAATCAAGAGGTACTAAAATGACAAAATAAACAGGATTTCATGAGAGACTATGAGACATGAGAAAAGAAATATCAAAAATCAACTCCTATATAATGGGTTGGAAACACAACAAATGGACTTATTGTTTTTTCTTGAAGGGACAGATAATGAATTTCAAATGTGAATCTGAGTTTTTTATTCTCAAATATAAAGTTGATTTGTATAGAAATATTTCATTATATGGAAGAACAAGGTGCCCGTATTTATTTTGGGGGGTGTTTATCAATCTTAGAGACAAAAATATAGGTTTCTGCAAGTGTAAAGTAGATCTGAACAGAATGAAGACCCATATCTTACTTTCAGTTCCATTCCTTTACACACATCTCAGGAAGGGGTTGTGGCTCGGGTTTGATCCCCTACGCCACACAAAAATAAACAAATAAAATAAAGGTATTGTGTCCATCTGCAGCTAAAAAAATATTTTAAAAAGAAAAGAAGAAAAAGGCTTGCAAAGTCCAAAAGAAATATTCAAAAACGTGACTTTCAAGCCACCAGAACATGAGTAGAACATGAGTAGGTTTTATGTCAGGCTAGTTTGAAGTATTTTGGTTAAACTATCAATTTTTCAGAACAGAGACACACAATTTAGAAAACTAACACTTTTTAAGTGTCATCATACAAATAGTTCCTGAAACTAACATTTTTTAAGTGTCATCATACAAACAGTTCCTGAATTTGATAGTCAAAAAATATTAGCTGGCAACTTTTAAGTCACTACTGACATGGCACTTTAAAGTCCAGTGAGTCTGGCGGCTCATCAAGCCTATAGAGAAGTAGATTTGATAACAGTGGGTGTTTAATTACTCATCACAGATATGCGGAAGAATCCCAAGAAGTTTTGCAAGCTTTATAGGTCTAAATCTTCATCTTTTTCTCTCACTTAGAAAAACAAAAGTTCAGAAACCACAGACCGGGTGGGTTTTAGTCTTAACAAAACATCTGCCCCACCCACCTCACACACAATAACCATCCATTCAAGAACTACAGGATACTGTCAGAGAAGGACACCGGGAGAGTAAGGCCCTGGTAGGTGACCCAGGTTACAGGAGCCGGACCTCAGAACCGAGGGGAGCTGTCTCACCCAGTTCCGGAGTAGTGTCCTGTTTCCCAAAAGGGTACCAAGATCTCCACCACAGAAACCCGAGCTCCCGCGCTGGCGCGGACGACTCTCCCTCCCGAGAGACCACTCCGATCCCGAGTTACCCGTAGCCTTAAGGCCTCTTCGGCGGACTCGGGCCTCTCGGATCCGCTCCCTCCAGGTTGCCGCTACCCCAGCCAGTCTTCTCTCAGGCGCCCACCGCCCGGCCGACGCGGCCTGCAGCCCGTCACTAGGCAACAGTCTCCAGCACGGTGGCCCCTGGTGGCCTAACTCGCGCACGGGTCCTTCCCCATTCCCTTTTCTCCCACTGGAGGCCCAGGTGAGAGCGCGACCGTAGAGGGAGCTCGCCCGGTGCCCGCAGCCGGGCACTTACCTCTCAGCTCTCGGCTCTCCGCCCGGGAGGGGCGGTGCTGGGGCGCGTTCCCCCCGCCCCCCCTAGAGGCGCTCTGGCTATTCCTGCTCGGCCTCCGCGACTGGCCGCGGCCGTCCGCTTACTCCATAGTCTCCGCCAACCCAGTGTCCGTAAAGGCTGCAGCGGGAGGAGGAAAGGGGGAAGGGAGGGAAGGGACCGGGGAAGAAGAGTATGGGAGGGGAAAGAAGACCGAAAGACCTGCCGGGCCGGGCATGACGTCACTTCCGGTTGTATCGGAAGGGGCGGGACCTGGGCTTCCCTCCGCCCCAAGAGTCAGGTGGGGGCGGTGCTATAGAACCGGAGGAGGAGCAGGTGCACAAGATTACGGCGGTAATTTTAACTCCGCGGTTCGGTAGTCCTCTGGGCCCTGGCGGAGCCGGCTGAGTTTCGTGAGCCTTAAAGGTGGCTAATGCCGGAAAAGGAAGACTGGCAGGACATGTAGTCCCATACATCCTAGCCAAATGTACAGTGATAGTAGCGGATAGCAAGCAGGTGAGGGGAGCAGAGACCAGGTTCCACCCCTTCCTGGGCTACCTGCCTTCCCAAGCCTAGGACCCAGACCCCAGACTTATCCTTTTCGAGGTTATTTTCGTAAAATGCCCTTGGAGGGTCCAGAAAAGCAGCGCTTCTCAAACATGCATATGAATTACCTGGAAACCTTTTTGAATGCAGATTCTGATTCAGTAGAAGGGTCGGATGTTCTGTGTTTCTGATTTCCAAATGACAGCAATGCTGCTGTTCCCTAGGCTACGCTTAAGTATCTTGCCTACTTATTTAATAAAAGAGAGGTAGATTACTTACAGTTTTTTGTTATGTCTCAACAGACATTTTAAACAAGAACATCTTACAGACAAAATGATTAGTTTCATTCAGTTCTTTCCCAGATTTCTTTGAGGAACAAACCTCAGAGAAATAACCTCCCTTTCTCCTGCAAGTCATTGGGTACCACTATCCCTCTGACCTCTGCCTCTCCTGACCAAGCTTCCTAGGATGAACAGAGGGACGACTTCCTTGACAAAAATAATTTGAAGGTAATGAAATTTTATTTCTCTCATATTGTCATAAACATTACTTTGTAAGACCAAACATACTGTTTCCAGTTAGTCAAGGGAGAGGAGAGCTTAAATTATTAGATTGAACCCCCAAAAATATCTAGGAACAATGTTCCAGATATTTCAATTTATTCTTTTTCTTTCTTAAGATTTTTCAATTAAAATTTTACTGGGGTAGGGAAGAATGGGGAATGACTGCTAACTGTATCTCTCATAGTAATGAAATAATCTGGAATTAGATAATAATAATGATTGTATAATGTTGTGAATCTACTACAAAACACTGGATCATACACAGCAAAAGGGTGATTTGGGCTGGGGGTTATCTCAGTGGTAGAGTGCTTCACATTCATGGCCCAGATTTTATACCCACCATTGCAAAAAAAAAAAAAACAGAATTTTTGTGCTATATGAATTATATCCCAATAAACAGTTTTTACAGTCTTCAATTAATTAAAAAATAAAAATTACATATGCACATTATAAAATTTCAGAAAAGTGAACAACCACTTTCATCAACTACATTACAGTACCATTACCCTAAAGTTACTAGTTTGAAGATTATCCTTCCAGATCTTTCTATTTGTGTGTAGGTTATAGGATCATAGTTTAGAAATTATTCTGCTTAGTTCATGATTTTTGTTTTATTTTGTTTGGGTTTTTTTCATATTTAATGAGGTCTTTTCCTGACATAAACTTAGTTTTGTTTCATCCTACTATTCAATAGTAAGGCTATGCCATAATTTATTTAATTATTTTTCTGGTGATGGACATTTTAATTTACAGGTTTTCATTATTTCTCAGCAATTTCTTTTTGGGGGGGGGTACCAAGGTTTAACTCAGGAGCACTCAACCACTGAGTCACATCCTCAGCCCTTTTTTGTATTTTATTTAGAGAAAGGGTTTCACTGAGTTGCTTATTAGCACCTTGCCATTGCTGAGGCAGGCTTTGCACTTGCTATCCTCCTGTCTTAGCCTCTGGAGCCAGGGCTTACAGGCATGCACCACAGCTCTCGACATTTCTTAGCAATTTTTTAAAACAAGAATAATTGACAGAAGATAGAAGAATGAATCAGACATAGCTTTCCTATGTTCATATATGAATACACCACCAGTATTCATGTATAACCACAAGACCAGGATCCTAATTAGAACAAGTTATATTCCATATATGTATAATATATCAGAGTACACTTGACTGTCATGTATGTAGGAAAAAAGAGACAGAGCTGGGCATGGTGGTGCAAACCTATAACCCCAAAGGCTCAGGAGGTTGAGACAGGAGGATCATGTGTTCAAGGTCCATTTTAACAACTTAAGCAGGCCTTAAGCAACTCAGCCATACCTGTCTCTAAATAAAATATTTAAAAGGGCTAGGGATGTGGCTCAGTGGTTAATTAAGTACCCCTGGGTTCAATCTCAGGTACCAAAATAAATAAACAAATAAAGTTGACAAATTGATTTTATTCAGTTCCTTGCCCCAGATTTTCTTTGAGAAACAGCTTGTCATTGGTCAAAAAGGCAAAAAGAAGAAAAAGCAAAGCCCCTGGTGAGACCACAGCTCTATAATATTCAAGACTTGAATGTATCTGCATTCCTTTTAAATATATTCTAAAGTAATGTTCTTCAAGGTATAGTTAGTAGCTAATCATTTAATGTTAAAAGTATATTAGCAGGCTAGGGCTGTAGCTCAATGGTAGAGTGCCTGCCTCACACGTGTGAGATACTGGGTTCGCTCCTCAGCACCACATAAAAATAAAATAAAGATATTGTATCCACCTATACCTAAAAAAATAAATATTTAAAAATAAATAAACAAATAAAGACAAAAAATACTGTATTAATTTACATTAGCTTACACAATAATATATTTCATGTCATTAAATTAAGTTCCTAGAATTACTCATTATTGACAGAAGAATGTGGTGAAATTTAGTTAATACATTGTAGTTTGCATAAGATGGGAGATGAAACTTAAAGCCATTAGCAGCAGATATGCCATAAAAAATTTAGTTTAGATTAAAACTAAGTTGTTAGCTGGGCATGGTGGTACACGCCTGTAATCCTAGCAGCTTGGGAGGCTGAGGCAGGAGGATTGCAAGTTCAAAGCCAGCTTCAGCAAAAGCAAGGTGCTAAGAAACTCAGTGAGACCTTGTCTCTAAATAAATACAAAATAGGGCTGGGGATATGGCTCAGTAGTTGAGTGCCCCTGAGTTCAATCCCCAGGACCCCGCCCCCACAAAAAAAAAAACTAAGTTGTTAAAACTGAAAAACTTCTTTTTGAGTAATTTAAATTTGTTAGGGTCATGTGTGGTGCTGCACACCTGGGAGACCGAAGCAGGAGGATCACAAGTTTGAGGCCAACTTAGAAAATCTAGTGAGACCCTGTCTCAGAATAAAAAATATAAAGGGGCTTAGGCTAGGGGTAGAGCATCCCTGAGTTCAATGCCCAATACCAAATTAATTTAATTAATTTGTCAGAAACATATTTTTTCCAGGATTCTCTGGGGTTTTTTTAAGCTACTCAGCTACACGAGTATTAGTCACTCCCTTCATATCCACATAGAAATCAAACAAGGAGGCAGTACTTATAAACATTCAAAGATTGCTTTACTTGTTTTGATGCTTTTGATGTAGTATTAAATCATCTTACACAAAATGTGTGCCTAAAGTAGCAATGATATCTCTCATCTTTGCCAGATACTAATGAACCATAGAGCGAGTCAATAGGAATGAAATTATTCAAAATTGAAAAGGAATTAGAATCTGAAGATTCCAACAGTAGTCTTTATAGGTTTCTAGAAAGTAAATTATTTTGTTTCTTGCAAAAGAAAATAGGATGATGAGAATGGGTCAATAGATTAAATAAAAGCAAAACATCCTTTAGCATTTGTGGTTAGTGCTAACTAAGACACTGTAAAATATTGTGGTTAGACCTTGGCAGAGCTGTCATCACTAAGCTAAAACTGAATGTTATACTTTATTGGTTTCTTTTTTTCTTTTTTTTTTTTTACATATAAGTAATGAAAGAAATAGCCAGATAAAAACTCAACTACTTCTGCATATGCTGTAAAGCTGTTTAGGAGGACATCATCACATAAATTTTTCAGATTTTATACTAGGGAAAAAAAACCTTCATGTCCTCTGAAGAATGGATACACGTTCTAATTTTGAAAAATAGTGCTGGGGTTGAGGCTCAGTAGTAGAGCGCTTGCCTATCACATTTAAGGCACTGGATTCAAAATTCAGCACCACATAAAAATAAATAAATAAATAAATAAAACAAAGGTATTGTGTCCATCTACAACAAGAAAGAAAGATATATGAAAGTCTTTATAATAAAGGTCAAGTTTCCCTGGAAACTCAGAGCTGAAGTCTTCTATTCTTATTATAGCAAGGGTGTTAACCTTAGAATTAGCATATATGCTTTCTTTGTATTTAGAATCCTAATTTGTCCTCTTTTGGTGGTATTTTACTAAATTATTATTTGTATCTTTTGTTGTAAGCTGCTTTTTGGAAATAGGAAACCTATAAATAAATTTAATAATTAACTAAAATGTATATTTGAAATTTTGATCTTGTTTGTATTGAAAATGTGCACATTGTTTTAACAGATGAAAGATAAAAACTATTTTACGTCTTCTAGCACATGAAATTGGAAATCATTGGAAAAATTCATGCAATGAGTGTGAATTCAGCTCTATCTTCAGATATCTCAGTTAACAAATCTGTTCCCTAGCTTTCAAAAGAAGGTAACTTCAGTTTGTACTATTTTTTTTTCAGAATTTTGTAAAGAAAGAACTGACTTCTTTTAAAAAATAAATAAATAAACTTTAAAACCAGTTTAGTTTCAGTGAAAAGTACACAGAGGTCCCATCCACCCTTGTACCTACTCACACACAATCTCCCACTATCAGCATGCTGCACTACCGTGGTACACTTGTTAAAATCAGTGAATCTACACTGACACATTATTATCACCTAAAGTCCATGGTTCACATTAGGGTTTACTCTTAATGTTGTAAATTCCATATTTTAAAACCAATGTATGATGACACGTATCCATTATTATAATGTCACACAAAATAGTTTCATGGCCCTAAAACTCCTCTTCTCCTACTCATTCCTCTCTTCCCTCTAATCCCTGGCAACCACTAATATTTTACTGTTTCCAAAAACTGACCTTTTAGATATAATAACATTACTGTGTTTATGTGTTGACTCTGCTTCTCTTGCCTGTAAAAGTTTTCTCCTACATAGCAATTGCATCAGAAAAGACAGATGAAGCAACATAGATTCGACGACACATAGTTTATTTTTCGCAGTGATCATAACAAGATTACCTGGAAGTGCTGTCATATGTGCTACCAGAGAAAACAGAGTCGTTCTACCAGTCCTTATTATTTGTAATCCAAGACCATCTTATGAGTATATCGTTTGTCCATTGTATAAATACCTCTAAGACATCTCTGTTCTTTCTCTTTCTCAAACCAACTTAGGCTACCTGTTGTTCCACTCTTCTTTACTATTTACTTCATTTACTTGTGTTTTCCTTTTTATAATGCCACCAGTAATGGAAAGAGGAGCTCCATAGTTAGGATAGTCAGAAGGGATACAGACACCTTAATGGTTACCCACTTGATTCCATTTAGTCAAATAATGACAGAAGCAAGACAAGCTTTATATGTGCCCTGGAGAGGCTTTGTTTATCAACAAGATTTAAGATAGGTATGATAAGGAAAAAATACAGAGTGCACAAAGAAAGGATATAGAGTGAGAAGAGTTCCTAGAAGAAAACTCTAGGAAAACTAATATTTAGAAGACAAGCAGAAGGGGAGGCAACAAAAGTACAGTTTTGTGGCTGAACATATAGCTCAGTGGTGGAAGGCTTGCCTAGCATATGCAAGATCCTGGGTTCACTACCAAGCACCACTAAAAAATAAAATAAACATCTTTCCCCATCAATTTCCCTTGATGGCATGAGATACCTTTAGAAATTCCTAAGTAAACTTGGATATAATTTATTAGGAAAGGATTAATATTTCTACTTATTGACCGTTTTTCTGAGCTAAGCAGTGTGTTACGCATTTTATATTTATCTATAATCTTGCAGTAGACGTGTAAAGTGACGGGTGAAACCCCAATTTTAGGTGAGGAAACCAAGAATCAGAAAGATCACATTTAACAAAAAAGAAAGAACACAGAAGGGAATGAAAACTGGCACCTTACTGTGCTTTATTAAACATTTTTGTTATACTTCCACATAATGTAAAGCGTTCAAACAGCCTGGCAAGTTTCATTCCAAAAATAAATAAATAAATAATAGCAGTTCTTCACCCTTGATCTCTTACCCATTCCCTCCTCCTCAGAGGCAGCCAATTAAAACTCATCTCTAAATAATACACTTATATTGCTACTTCATGAATTTTCAGTTTTCGGCATATATGTTAATTTTCTACAAAGGAAAATAGGAATTTGGGTCTTTTTTCTTCCTTTCCTCTCAGAAACACTCTTCACCGCTCCTCCCATCTTCCTGATATAATTAGAAAATCACTTTGGAAAAATAAACTCTGTTCACATTATTTTAGCCATAGAGCAAGAAAGCTGTGATTCCTTCCTTTTCTTTTACAACATTTTATGTATATAACTTTATTTATTTTTATGTAGGTTCCACAGCCCCAACCTCAACATTTTGTTTTTCTTAGAACAAATAATTTTTTTCTGTTTTGCTTAGTTGTTTTATATTCACATATATTTTCAGCTCCAAATTCCCACATTTAAAACACCAATCGGAATATTCGGGTATGTGACATATTTTGTCAATTTCATCTTCTTGGGGTAAATTCTCTTTCCACTGGATTTCTGATGTGTTTCATTTTGTACTGGTCACCTGCTATGTTTGATGCACAGTTTCTCTCTTCAGAGCAAACACAACTTTTGCCCCTCTCTCTCTTGGATCTCTTACTTCCTGTCTTCTGTGTCTTTCTATTGTTTACTCCTCATTTTGGTGGCATACATTCTCTAGCAGTTTCACAAAAAAAAAAAAAAAAAAAGGATATACAGAAGATAATTTTTTATCTGTATTTCTGAAAATTTCTTTATTCCAGCCTCTTATTTGATTGACAGTTGGAATTCTAGGTGGAAATGATTTCCACAGAATTTTTAGGACATTTTCCCATTATCTTCTTGCTTCTTGGGTTGGTGTTAATAAGTCTAAAGCCATTCTGATTAGGGATTTTAAAAAAATTTTTTTGGTTGTATATGGACACAATACTTTTATATTACTTATTTATTTTTATGTGGTGCTGAGGATCAAACCCAGTCCCTCAGACATGATAGGCAAGCACCCTACCACTGAGCCACAACTGCAGCCCCTGATTAGTGATTTTTAAATGTGATCTTTTCCCCACCTCCACTCCTGAAGCTCAAAGGGTCTCTTCCCCATCCCAAGCTTTCTGAAATTCAAAAGTAATGTGTTCTAAGGTAAATATGTTTTCATCCACTGGACTGTTTCAATCTAGAAATTTCCTTGGATTATGTTTGATGATTTTCTCCATTTCCTCCAATTATGCCTTCTCTATTTTAATTCTAATCTCCTATTTAGATATTGGATCTTCTTAACTAGTTCTCCAGTTCTTGTAATGATTGTCCACCATCTTTTATATTTTTGTTTGGTTTTATTTATTAGAAAATAGCTTTCAATTTATCCGCCAACCTTCCCATTGATATCTAAAAGCACACTTAAATTCTCAGTATTTCCTTTATCATGGCATTCTGTTCTCATTTTATAGTTGCCTGTTTTGGTTATCTCTATATCCCTGCCATCTAGAACAATGCCTAACCCAAAATAGGTCTCAATAAATATTTGTTGAATGAATGTTCAGTGTTCTTATAATTGAATTCATTTTCTACTTTCAGGCAATTTCATATCTATTTGTACTAATTGATGACTTAGTAAGATGTTGCTTCACTCTTTTCATATGTGGTAACCTTGCCTCCTTACTTAGGGTGTAGCTATGTAATGCCCACTATTTGCTATGTATCTTTTCTTTGCACCTGGTTCAGTGCCCTGCCCAAAGGTAGTTACTGCCCAGCTGATTAGAGGCTACTCATGATCTCAAGTATGTACTAAAAAATATTAATTTACCTTATAGTTGACCAGTAATTGAGAAGTAGCAAGCCAGATGCCCTTAGGATCTAGGCAGATCAGAGAACCAATAATTAATTATCAGATATGTAGAAAAATACTGTATTTTTTCTTGAAAAAAAAATGGTCCTTTCAAGCTATTTTTCCTTTTCCTATTTAGGACAGATAAGCACTTAGAAATAGGTTATTACCTATAACTGGAAAATACTATGAAACTAGCAGCTAATACAGTTTCAGTGCTTAGGATACAATAGAGAGTGGTGGGGCTTGTAGTGAAGTGGAAATAAATGCCAGTCAAAATGGGGTGGCCTTAATCTGTACCACATGCTTTTGGTTGCCATTAATTCAGGCTCAATACTATGAGATTTTATGATTTAGAAAAAAGACACTTAAAACTAGAATCTTACATGAAATCTCCCATTTCAATACAAGTTAATTTTTTTCAAAGTACTTTTATATACAAAAAAATCATGACTATGGGCCAAATAGTCCATAGGGCACTGACATGGGAGCTCTTCGAGAGATTTTCTATAGTTATTGCTTTTATAACTTTGTTTAATTGAAAGGTAAAATATTAATTATGATCTAGTAGCTAGGGTGATGAAAAATTTAATTAACAATAGGAATGACCAGAAACCCAAGTTAAGATTAACCTAATACTGCATTTTGTTGTTGTTGTTGTTTTAACTGAGGATAGAATCCAGTGGCACTGTACCACTGAACTACATCCCCAGACCTTTAAAAAAAAAAAAAGGGCTGGGGATGTGGCTCAAGCGGTAGCGCGCTTGCCTGGCATGCGTGCGGCCCAGTTCAATCCTCAGCACCACATACCAACAAAGATGTTGTGTCCGCCGAGAACTAAAAAATAAATATTAAAAATTCTCTCTCTCTCTCTCTCTCTCTCTCTCTCTCTCTCCTCTTTCACTCTCTCTTTAAAAAAAAAAAAATATATATATATATATATATATATAATTTTGAGAAAGGGTCTTGTTTTGCTGAGGATCTTGCTAAATTTCTAGGGCTGGTTTCAAACTTGTGATCCTTCTGCCTCAGTCTCTAAATTGCTGGAATTATAGGCATGTGTCACCATTCAATCAGCTTTTGCTGAGGCTGACTTTGAACTCTCAATCCTCCTGCCTCAGCCTCTGAGCCACTGGGATTACAGGCATGAGCCACTGTGCCCAGCTCGACCTTTGGTTTTAGGGGATTGGTTTATTTCGCTTAGTATGATAGTTTCCAGTTCCATCCATTTACCGACAAATGCCATCATTTCATTCTTCTTTATGGCTGAGAAAATATTCCATTGTGTATATATACCACAATTTCTTTATCCATTCATCTGGTGAAAGGCACCTAGGTTGGCGCCATAGTTTAGCTATTTCGAATTGAGCCTCTATAAACATCGATGTGGCCATGTCATTACAGTATGCTGATTTTAAGTCCTTTGGGTATATGCCAAAGAATGGGATAAGGGGGTCAAATGGTGGTTCCATTCCAAGTTTTTTGAAGAAGAAACAGGATTTATTTAGGTGCTTTTGCAGGAAATTTTCAGCAGTCCATCTGCCTTCTAGGCATAAAGGGCAGGTTATCTATAGGAGAAAAGTAATCACTGTCAATAGTTTCTTCACCTGCAATGCTTGGATCTAAAAGATAATGAATCACACATATTAGGCAAGAGACACCATTCTTTAATACAAAGAAGAGAAGGGAGGAAGGGGGGAAGGAAGGATATTTAAGAATTATCAGGAATTCATAGGTCTGGAGATGTATGTCGAGATAAGAGTGCTTACTTAGAATGCACAAGGAACCCTAGCACCCACAAGAAAAAAAATAGTTTATCACCCAAGAACTTTATCCTAAGAAAATGTTTGAGAAAATACTTTAATTAGACTACAAAGAAATAACAAGAACCCCAATATAGGAAAATAAACATTAGTAGGCAACACACCTTGATCTTTGCTCTCGCCTATGTTTTCCCTTATCTCCCATTTTGTATGCACACCTGCGCGCACACACACACACACACACAAATCTCAAGTGGATGTGGTAATAATGTGTGGGAATGAGTAAAAGTTAAGAAGTAAAAAATAAGGGGCCAGGTATGGTGGCACTCGCCTCTAATCATAGCAGCTAGGGAAGCTAAGCAGGAGGACCACAAGTTCAAAGCCAGCCTCCGCAACTTAACAAGGCCCTATCTCTAAATAAAATATTTTAAAAAGGGTTGGGGATGTGGCTCAGTGGTTAAGTGCCTCTGAGTTTAATCTCCAGTATCAAACATAAAATAAAATAAAAAGGGTGATATACCATTAAGGGAAATTATAGTAAATAGCAACCTGTCTCCGCAATAGGAGGGCAGATTTGGGAGAGCAGCAGATGTGAAGGGGGGATTAAAGACCTTCCAAAGGAGTGTCTGAGGGATGTGTGTTGGGAGGAATAATAGGATCCTAAATTTCTTATCTTATTGGGGTAGGAAGGTAATAAAGGGAAAACAATGTGTTATAGAATAAACAGTGCATCCGGTTTGGGGAAATATTTGTTACATGTTGAGAATACCTAATTGAAAATCTGCAGTGTTCCAAACTCTGAAACTTTGGAGTCTTGAGCTTGACAACATGCTAATAATCTATGCAAATATCCCCAAATCTGAAAAACTCCCCCAATCTGAAGTATTCTGATTCCAAACACTTTCAATAAAGGATATACAACCTATGTATTAGTTTCAAATAATAATAAAACAATATGCATCTCATTATTGGACAGGAAACGGAAAGGGAACCACTATGGAATGAAACAGATAAACTCTTAACAAAATTGGAAATAATAAAAAGGTGGCCAAAATATTTTTTTTAACTTCTAGAATATAAAGGTACACAAAGTGTGATGGTATTTGGTGAGGAAAAGATCCATTCCCACACACAAACACACATTCAGTCCTTCGTTTCTACAGCAAAATTTATTGAAAGAATTCTCTCAAAAAAAATTACTTCTTTGGGTTAAAAAATAAACTAGATTTTATTGTGTTTTATCAAACAGTGCTTTAGTTAAATGCAAATGTTAACCATCAATTTATTGTGTTTTGCATTTTCCCTTTACAATTGTTAACTGACTTAATGCAACAGTTGTATGTTTGGAATATTTCCCTGACCAGTTCATATTTACAGTTAGGCAGCAGTTAATTCAAAGCAGAAATGATGAGCCAAGATTGACTATTCCGAAAGAGATACTCTTTACTGGCATAGTTAAATATTATAATCAAGAGAGAGAGATTGCCTATTAATTTGATGAATATGTTGATATACGTTTAGGAATTTTTCAACTTTTAGGTAAGAGAGGATGCTTTAACTATAATTTTGCATAACAAAACATTTAAAAATATATAATCTGAAATAGAAAATGGATAATTGGAGAGTTCTAGGACAGCTTGGTATTTTGGCTCTCCAAGGGCTATTTCCCTGGCTGTTTGATCTGCCAGGTTGTTACCCTGCTCTGAGGACTATCGTCTTTGTGGTGTCCAGGCCAGTGGATAATAGCCAATTTGTCTGGTAACCAAATTGCCTCCAGTAGTTCAAGAATTTCTTGTTTATTTTTGATGGTCTTGCCATCTGAGGTTAGAAGTCCCCTTTGTTTATATATTTGTCCAGGCACATGTGCTGTAGCAAAGGCATAATGGCTGTCTGTGTAGATATTCACCCGTTTTCCTTTTGCCCATTTCAATGCCTGTGTCACAGCAATGATTTCTGCTTTCTGGGGCTGATGAACCCCTGGGCAGAGCCTGGGCCCAAATAACTTTTTTTTGACCTGTGACTACAGCTGCCCCTGCATACCTTATTCCATCCCGGACATAGCTGCTGCCATCGGTGTAAAGGTCTGCGTCTCTGACGGTGAGAGGAATGTCAGTCAGGTCTACTCGAGTACCTTGGATGACATCCAACATCTCTGAACAGTCGTGAATTGGCTCCTCTGGATTGCTGTCCGGCAGCAGAGTTGCTGGATTGATGGCCAGGGATTTACTGAAGGTTAATCTGTCTTTATCTAGGAGTAGAGCTTGATATTGAGTGAGGCGGGCATTTGACATCCAATGATTTGTGGTATCCCTCAACAGAGCTTCCACTGCGGGAGGGGCAGTTACAGTTAGAGTCTGCCCTAGTGGTAAGCTTGTCTGTTTCCTTCACCAGAAGTGCAGTAGCCGCTATGGCTCGTAAACAAGGGGGCCATCCTGACGCTACTGGATCCAGCCTGTTTGAAATGTAGGCAATAGGCCTTTTCCATGGCCCTAGATTTTGGGTAAGAACCCCTTTTGCAATGCCCTTTTTCTCATGAACATACAGATGGAAGGGCTTAGAGATATCAGGGAGGGGTAGGGCTGGAGCCTGTGCCAGGGCCTTTTTTAGATTTTTAAAGGCTAATTTATTTTCTTCAGTCCAAACTAAGGGTGAGATGCCCCCTGCAGTTGCAGTATATAAAGGCTTGGCAATCTCAGCAAATCCAGGTATCCAAAGACAGCAGTACCCAACTGTCTCCAGGAACTCCCTAACTTGCCTTTTAGTAGTTGGGATTGGGATCTTCATTATGGCCTCTATGAAGGCTTGGGATAGCAGCCTTTTCCCTTCCCTCAGTTCATATCCTAGATAAGTAACTCGAGGAGAACAGATTTGTGCTTTCTTTTTGGAGACTCGGTACCCCAATTGAGCCAAGGTTCTCAATAAAGCCTGGGTGGCCCTTAAACAGTCCCTTTCATCCCTTGCTGCTAGTAAAAGATCATCCACATATTGGAGCAAGGTTATCTCGGGGTACTCACTGCAGAAGAGGCTCAAATCTTTGTTGAGTGCTTCATCAAAGATGGTGGGGGAGTTCTTAAATCCTCGAGGTAGTCGAGGTAGTCGAGTCCAGGTTAGTTGTCCTGATATCCCCTGTTCCAGGTCAGTCCATTCAAATGCAAAGATGGGCTGACTCAGTTTTGACAAAGGAATGGAGAAAAAAATGCATCTTTCAGATCTAATACGGTGTAGACTGTATGTTCTGGTGGCAACATACTGAGCGCAAGGTATAAGGGTTTGGGACGGTTGGGTGTACAGTTTCCACCCGTTTGTTTACTTCTCTTAAGTCCTGTACCGGTCTGTAATCATGAGTCCCAGGCTTTTGGACGGGCAGCAAAGGGGTGTTCCAGGTTGACTGGCATCTAATTAGTATTCCCTCTTTTAGGAGACATCTGATATGAATTTTGACGCCTTCTCTGGCTTCAGAGCTAATGGGGTATTGTCTAATCCAAATGGGCATAGCCCCAGAGGTTAGTTGGACTATGACTGGTGGCACATGTTTAGCTAACCCCAGAGGTTATCTTCAGCCCAAACTGCAGGAATTTCTTGGATTAATAGTTTTTTCCATTTTCCCTCTGAAGCTTGGATAGGATTTTGAGAAAGCAGGTATTCCTCACTTAATGGGCATGTTATAGTTAAGGCTCTTGTAGGACTCCCCAGTTGTAGTGTAGGCATCTCCCCTGAAAATGATATAGTTGCCTGAAGTTTGCTTAGAAGGTCCTGCCCCAGCAATGGGAAAGGGCATTCAGGGATAATAATGAAAGCGTGAGTCACTGTTCCTTGTCCTACATCAACAGTCCGATCTGTGTTCCATTTTTAATTTCTCCTGTTGCCCCTTGTACTTCCATAGTTTCATTAGTGAGGGGTCCTAGGGGCTTCTGTAACACCGAATATGAAGTCCCTGTATTCACCAAGAAATTTACAGGTTGGCTCCCAATTGTGAAGGTTACCATTGGCTCTCGGGAGCCTAGTTTGAAAGAGCCATGGTTCCCCTAGTCTTCTAAAGTTAGAGCCGGTTTTGGCTGAGGGGCTCCCGTCTGCAGTGGGGGAAAGTCTTTTCGATTTCGTTGGGGGCACTGATTTTTCCAGTGTCCATATTCCCGGCAATAAGCACACTGATCTATTTGGAGGGGAGTCCGTCTTTTGCCCCTGCCATGTGCCGCCTGCATCTGTCTGGAATTGAAAATTTCGGGAGACCTTAGTGCAGCTACTGTGGTCCGATTTACTTTCCTTATCAGTAGATCATCCCAGCTCTCTCTGTTTTCAAACACCTTTTGGGCTATCTCCAATAATTCTGACCTATTCTTCCCTGCAAAGCCATCTATCTTTTGAATCTTTTTACGGATGTCTGGGGCTGATTGAGCTACAAAAGCCAGGTTAATCGCCTTCAGATTTGTCGGGTCCTCAGGATCTATAGGAGTATATATAGGAGTATATATGCCTCTAGGAGCCGTTTGAGAAACGCTGAAGGCGATTCGTCTGGGTTTTGTTTCACCTCTGCTACTTTAGAAAGATTGGTGGGCTTGCGACCTGCCCTACTAAGACCCTCTAATAGAGCCTGGTGGTAATCGCTGAGTGCTCTCCTACCTTCAGCCTTTCCATAATCCCAGTCTGGTCTTCTTTTAGGTAAAGCCAAGTTGATTACTTCCGTTTTCTCGTCATGCGTAAGAGAGTTTATTCCAGGCAGTGCTTTAGCTGCTTCTGCCAGGATTCGCTCCCTTTCCTCCGTAGTGAAAAGGGTATGCAGAATCTGTTGGCAGTCATCCCAGGTGGGGAGATGATTAAAAAAGACAGAATCAACCAGGGAAATCAGGGAACTAGGATCCACACTAAACGGGAGATTTTGGTTTTTCCAGTTGTAGAGATCCGTTGTGGAAAACAGTACATATATATAACGACCTTCTGGAACCTGGCAGAGAGGAAGGACAGGGGCGGGAGTCACCTCTTCCTCTGGGATAGAAATACAAACAGTGCCTGCGGGTCTGCCTGGGGAGGGGATAGAATCAGGCCTTCCATAGGGGTGACCCTGTCGGGTATGGGGAGGGGATAGAACAGGGGCTGGCTTATTTGGGCAAGTGATAGCAGAAGGAGTGGTGGAATGAGGTAGTTGCAGCAGCTCAGGGGAGGGGGAGGGAGGCTGTGGTGCAGTTTTTGCAGCTGTCTCCATTGTCCCCGCACCAGTGGCAGGGAGACAAAGAGGAGCCCCAATGTGGGGGGGGGGAAGGAGGATTTCCTCCTGAGCGTCCTGTAAAACAGGGTTCTTAATTGAGGGCTCCTGGGAAGTTTTTTCGGTCACAATCAGGGCCTGCCCTCCCTGTCCATTCGGGACCATACAAACCTTCATCCAAGGGGGTGGATTAGTTGTTGCTTATGCCCAGGGTAGGATATATCCTATTTGATCTGGGTGGCCAGGGTTGCCAAGAGTGGCATTAGTTACAGCCCATGCCACCTGCGGATCAAAGGTGCCCTCAGGGGCCAGCGACTCCAAAAGTGGGCCATTCTGCCTCACAGAAAGTTCGGAGGCGATTCTTGGTGATGGGATAATCATAGCTCTGCTTAACAAAAGAGGGGTAAAGTTTATCAAAATTCCTTAAAACACAGTTCAAAGGGCTATCAGGCTTACTTGCTTTATTACCCATTTTGATGTCCACTTTCCTTAAATTTCACCACAGAAGTCACACAACAAAAGACAAAAAAAAAAAAAAACATATAGAACACAGAACAAAACACAAGGAAACACAAACCCGGCACCGAAACAGAAAAACAGAGGAGCAATGCAACGTCTTGCTAAAGCTCTGGGGTAGGAGTGCGTGCGTGCCCGTCGGCACCTCTCTACCCTTCCAGAGGAATTCCCTACAGAACAGAACAGAGGACCAGAATGATTTCTCGTTACTGTCCGGACAGGAGTATATGTGAACCTCGCCAGGCCACCTCTCTGTCATCAGAAGAGATCTCCCTTAACCAGATATCAGATGTTATAAAGGCGCCACTTACCTATGGAGGCCTCCTCCACCAGATGCTTGCTAATTGTTTTAGTGCAGCAGTTCACTCCAGCTCTCCGAGGACCAAAGGCTCACCCTGGGGCCTTGGAACATCTCAAGGTGCGCACCCCCTAGAGTGGCTCTCCATCCCAGAGCCCGGGAGCGAAGGTCCGACTTCAGAATTTCCAGCAGCCTGATATTGCAATCTGGTCCTGCAGTTTAATCTCGCTGGGGCCTCCAAAATATTAGACCACGACGCAAGAAAAGACCACTGACTCCAATTAAAATCAAATTAAAGCAAGTTTATTATTTCAACCAGCTGGGCTGCCTTGTCCATCAAAATCGTGGGAGCCAAGGACAGCCCCGAGGCTTCTTTTTGGCCCAGTTTTATAACCCAAAAAGTTACACAAAGGGGGGGTTACAGATAACAACACTCTGAGGAGCATAACACAAGTTTATATTTTTGCTGGCCCCGGCATAGAATTTATGGAGATCTTAGAGACTCAGAGAGGGTCGTTATCTGGCCAGGGAAGGCCAGAATTTATGAGGCGTCACTAAGGTTTAGGAAAGGGTTGTTATATGGTCAGGGAAAACCGGACATGGGTGAGTTCAGGGCATGGGTAGGCATTCCAATCAGCTTTACAACATCAACTAATGGCCAGGCCATACAGACATCCTGATATTTTTACAGAAAACAGAAATGAATCCTTTATGACTTGTGACAAGCTGGCTTCTGATCTAATGAGTTAACTAGGCTAAGTATATCAGTTGGGGAGAGAAGGAGTGTGTTTGGGCTGGGAGAATGGCTTCCAGAGGAGGGGCCATGGTGTCATGCACACCTTGGTGTTCAGAACAGCAACAAAATGGTGAATAGAGGGGAGAGATATGAGATGAGAGATGTGGTGATGGGTACACAAATCACAGTAAGGCCCTCACAGGCTAATGGAGGCTGGTTCTCTTTGGAATAAGACAGAAGATTATTGAAGAGTTTGAGCAAAGCAGTGGTAAGATTTGACTAACATTTATAAAGATAACTCTGGCTTTTGTGTTGAGAATAGATTTTAGAGGAGCAAGGGCAAAAGTAAGAACACCTTTTAGGAGACTGAAATAATATGAGCAAGAGATATGATGATTTAAAAAAGAGGGCAGCAGTAGAGCCAGTAAAATATGGTTAGATTCTTTTTAAAAAATATTTATTTTTTAGTTGTAGTTGGACAGAACACCTTTATTTCACTTGGTTTTTATTTTATTTTTTTTTTTTTAATGAGGTGCTGAGGATCGAACCCAGGGTCTTGCATGTGTGAGGCGAGCGCTCTACTGCTGAGCCACAACCCCAGCCCCGGTTAGATTCTTAATATACTTTAAAACATTCTAGAAAAAAAAATTGCTTTTAGCCTCACTACTATTTTCAGTACCAGACAGTACTTTCAGTGGTGTTATTTCTCCTTAACATCTATAAAGAATTTCGGGATTTAGAGGGAGGGAGAAAGGAATGGCATGGGGAAGTACTTAGGAATTAAATCTACCAAATTATGCCATGTCCAGGTTCAAATATACTGCAATGAATCCTGTTTCTATATAGAATTGCTCCTTCCATTTTTTTTTGCTTAAAAATTATAAAGAAATATACTCATTCAAATTATGTAGCAGTTCTGTCAAACAATAAATGAAGCTTTCATTACTTAAGTGAAAAAGGTAATCCTAAGTATGTAATAGAGTCTCCCATTAACCAAAATTTTCATATATAATTTACCTACAGAGTGGGTCCCAGATTCCAATTATGAATTTAGAAAGAACATTTCCTCTCCTTCTTCTTCTTTACCACTCTTATCCTTCTCCTCTAAATGAATTTCCTTTTTTCCTTCATATGTCACAGAAGTTAGAAAGCATTTTTTTCATTCCCACCTCCCACTCATGTTACAAGTAGTAATGTCATAAAAAACATATTAGTTAAAATTTTGTAGCAGACCACAAAGGGAGAAAAGGAACTTAACTTGGGCTGGAGGAGGAGGGGGTGTAGGATCCAGGAAGCAGGGAAAAGGGCTCTGATGACTGGTTTCCAGAGATAAGAGGCTGAGGTATTTCAGGGAGGCTGAATTAAGAGTATTTACGTAGAGGTTCTCAAGCATGCTAAGCTTGTGTCTGTTATAGGGCTTTATCTGGGCTGTCTAGTGTCTGGAACATTGGTCTTCCAAATCTTCCTGGGCTTATTTCTTCACAGCTGTTCAGATCTCTGCTCAAAATATTACCCCTCAGAAAGATGGAAGCCCTATGGGCTTGGGTTGTGGCTCAGTGGTAGAGCATTTGCCCCTCATGCTTGAGGCATTGGGTTTGATCCTCAGCACCGCATAAAAGTAAATAAAGATATTGTGTCCATCTACAACTAAAAAAAAGTATTAAAAAAATGGAAGCCCTAATTATCTAAAAGAGTGGTCTGCCTCCTTTGCTTAGCCACATCTGGCCCAATATATTTTTTAAATTGTCATTCTGTCCATTGAGACTATAACTTTAAGAATTTGATCTACTTACTTGTCACCTGAAATAGCACCTAGCTCATAGCAATCACTCAGTTTTTTTTTTTTTTTTTTTTTTGAGTGACATGATGAAATAATGGGGACAGCTTCATGACTAGAAAGTGGCCAGACAAGTAGCCACCTGGGAGCTATGATGAAGGGCTGTCTGTATATGAGCTTCAACCCTGGAAGAGCTGGGGTATGCCCTCTGTAACAATATTAGCTGAGGGATTATTTTGCTAGATATGTGTTGTAGTCTGGGATTACCTTTGAGGAAACCAAAATTGGAAAAGAAGAATTAACTATTTTAAGAAAATGTTTTAATGTTCAGAGCCACTGTATATATATGGACCATGTAATTACAATGTAAGGTTATTTAGACAAGTGTTATTATGGAAGTACAAATCATTTTTATTATAGGTGAACATTTCACTAATGATGATAACATTTCACTAAGCTAGTTTCAAATATAGCAAATACATGAACACAGTAAATTATATTTTAAGAATGCTAAAAAAAATGTTCAAGTATTCAAACCCTTTATAATTCAGAGGCCTTCTATCACCACCCCCTCTTCCCATCTGTAGTTTCCTCTTACTCTACCATTGGTTGAAAATAAAGATTTTTTTCTATGTTGAATTCTTAGCTAGGGAAAAAATCACATTAAGTATTTGGGAATCCCCGTTTTTATGTAGACACCAGTTATTTCATTGGATCTGGTTGATAAGAAACTTCAGAAGCTTCCGCATGGAGAAGATTCAGATGCCATATCCAGGTATTGATTCAGACTTTTTCCTTCTTTATTATTAAGTATCTGTTGTTGGTAAATATGTTGAAAAAGATGCCAAAAATGAATATGCAATAAATAAATAATGTTATAAAAGTGGTGATATTAAGGTTATTTTTTAATATCCCCAGGGCAAGTTTTTCTCTACATAGTTGTTTTTGGAAGCCCTTTGATTACCTTTCTTGTAAGAAGGTGAAAACTTTTATCATTGCTGCTCCTGATTCTTATCTCCCCTTCAGTTATCCTCCCATGCCTGCTTCTTTCTCCTGAACTGTTTTTTTCCTGAACTCTTTTTCCAACTCTGTGATTCTTTTTTTTTTTTTAAAGAGAGAGTGAGAGAGAAGAGAGAGAGAGAATTTTTAATATTTATTTTTTAGTTCTCGGCGGACACAACATCTTTGTTGGTATGTGGTGCTGAGGATCGAACCTGGGCCGCACGCATGCCAGGCGAGCGCGCTACCGCTTGAGCCACATCCCCAGCCCCTGTGATTCTTTTTGTTTTTCTTTTTTTATTCTCTCAGCCCTGCCCCCTTCCTTTGTAGGGAAAGGATCAAATTTTATAGTGAAGGAGTCTAACCACCCCCGACCCAGTTAAGTAGACTCCATGATTCTTTTCAAAACACAAAGTCTTATGGAGAAACCAAAATTGGAAAAGAAGTATTAACTATTTTAAGAAAATGTTCTAATGTTTATAGCCACTGTATACATATGGACCACGTAATTACAAAGTAAGGTTATTCTACTGATCTGGATCCTTAACTTAGAATTTTTAAAATTTTTCTCTCTCTCTCTCTCTCTCTCTCTCTCTCTCTCCATATATATATTTGTTTTATTTTTATGTGGATTTGAGGATTGAACCCAGTGCCTCACACATGCCAGGCAAGCACTCTATCACTGAGCCACAGCTCCAGCCCCCCAGATTTTTTTTTAATACCAATATAACTTCAAAATATTTTTCAATACAAATTTCCCAAGATTTTCATGTGGGAGTCTAATAGCATACTAGATATATTGTGGACACTAAAGCCAAAGGGTCCAAACAAGCTATTTTAATAACCCCTTTGTGTCTGTTTTCTTATTTAAAAAATGGAAACAATACTATACTACTTTATATATACTGCATATATAAAAATACATATGTATATGTACTATTTCATAGTATAGTTGTTAAATATTTAATATTTATATCATTAACATAAAAACCAAGTAACATTTTTCCTAAAAATATAAAATTCAAAGGCATTATTAATTTTTAGAAAAAAAATTCACAGAGGAAGTCACAAATTCATTTGCTTTTATTACTTAGAATTTCTCAGTCAATGCCATTTTATATCATTTCCTCCTTTGAACACAAGGCATATGGCAACAGGAATGTTGTCACATATATCCTATTTGATGCAATTAAACAGTGATGTTCAGGAAGTATTATGAAACTAACATCTGGAATCTTCTGGGGTTAATTTGATTTTTTTATTTGACTAATTTCCTAATAAATTTAAATTGCCATTCCTACATCCGATTTTTACATTCATTTTTTTTCTTTTGAGGAAAATGGAAGAATTATAAGCATTTTAATATTTATTTCCATTCAATGGTATACTTTTTAAAAGACGATAATGAATGTAAGTGCTTTGCATAACAAGCACTGAGGAAGTGGAGAGTCGACTGATTATATATTTCCCTAAATAGCTTAACTGTTTCTCTCTCTCTCTCTCCCCTCCCCGCCCCCCGCCCCAGGGATTGAACCCAGGAGCAATAACACTGAGCCACATCCAGCCCCTTTTTATTTTTTTATTTTTGATTTTGAGATAGGGTCTCACTGAGTTGCTGAGGCTGGCCTCCATCTTGCTGTCCTTCCACCTCAGTCTCCCGAGTTGCTGAGATTACAGGCATGTGTCACCATGCTGACTGTTTTATTGCTTTTTGATGTTTATCTTTTATTCAGTAAATCACATTACATCATTATAAAATGTGGTTGACTCTTTAAAATTTTAAATGATCTCTGTGCTATATGTTGTATGATCTTTTCCCCCATACTGAAACTTATTACTTAAAATGCTTGTGTTGATTCACAATGTTTCTGATATCTAGGATTTACCCATTCATTCATTCATTCATTCACTAAGCATTTTTAATATCTTAGTGAATGAATGAATGAATGGGTAATAATATTTGCCAAACACCAAATATTTTTTAAAAAGGTAGGTCCTGCTTCCAATTTACTCACATTCTAATGTTCAGAGTGATTGCCACATAGATGTTCAATTAATGTTTGTCCAATAAATTCAGTGAAAAAAATAAATGAGAGACAGCCATATAAAACAATCATAATACAATAGGAATAGGGTTGGGGATATAGCTCAATGGTAAAGTACTTGCCTAGCATGCTTAATACCCTGGGTTTGATCCCAGCACTGAAAAAATATGTATAATGTATATGATTTAGGGATATATTCAAGTCACAGGAGGTTATGGAAGCCTGGAAGAGAATTATCTGATCTAGTTTGAGGGATTTAGACTCTGCTTGTGGAAGAGATAATGCCTTAAAGAATTAGGAAGAATTAGCTAAGCCAAAGAAGTGAAGAAGAGCATGTGCCTGACAGAAGGAATAATGTGAACAAAACTAGGTAAGCAGAAGGAACTACAGCTAAGGGCTGTCAGGAAGTGAAACTAGAAAGAGAGCTCATGAATGGGTCTCATTTGGCAACCAAGGAACCCATTAGGCAGTCAAGGAGGTATTGAAAGTTATTTTTAAGAAAGCGATATGACCAGATTATATTTAGATAGAGCATGCTAGCAGCCATGTGGAGAATGGGTTGACAGTGGGAGTGGAGGAAGTCTTAGGAGATCTCCTACTGCCAGTGAGAAGTGATGTGGGCCTGTTACTGTGGCAGAGGCAAGAGATGAAGAGGAGGGGACAGGTTTGAGAACTATTCAGGAGGTAAAATGGGGAGTACTTGATTCCATCTGGGGGTTAGGAGGAAAGCTGACTCACAAATTTTTGACTCTCAAAGGGCAAGGTCCATAGTTTTAGTACTTGAGAGGCTGAGGTGGGAGGATACTTGAGACTAGCCAGGGAAACAAAGCAAGGACTTTGTTTCAATAAACAAACAAACACTTAGGTTTTTAAGTCAGGTGACAATTCAGGGAGAAAAATAGAGAAAGAGAACATGTTTAGGGAGATGATTAAATGTGTTTGGAGCTTTTGATTTATATGTGTGGGACATTCTGGTTAAGATTTTCAGAAGGGCAACTAGATGTACAATTTTGAAGTTCAAGGGAGAGACATATGCTAAAAATAAATAACTGGAAGTTATGGACCTGTGGGTGGAAATTGAGGTCATCTATTGTACATTAAGTAAAATAAGAGGTCCAAGGATAAAATTTTAAGGGACACCAATAGTCAAAGTGCGAGCAAAGAGAAACCTACGAATGACAGAGAAGAAATGCCAAGAGAATGAGAAGTTATGCCCATAAAGTCAAGGAAATGAAACATTTTAGAATGGAGGGTCCTATGTAGCTGGTGATCAGAACTGCCACTGACTATCTGGAGCCAATTAGTAAAAGCTGTTTAGGAGCTGGAGAGGCAAAAGTCAGGTTGCAGTGAGATAAATAGGAATGAATGGACCATGAAGAGTAGGTATACGAGGAAGAGAAGAGAGGAACTGGGCAATAACTAAGGCAATGCTAGGGCAAGGTAGAGATTTTAAAATATTGTTCTGCTGGAAGAAGGAATCAGAAGAAAGGGGACATTGAAGGAAAAAAAGAGATGGCTGATGGAGCCAGGTCCTGGAAGAGGCAGAAGGAAGTGAGTTCAAGGGCATGAGATGAAGTGTTTTCCTAGAACAGGAGGAGCGATATTGGAATAAAGGTGGTAGTATATGTAGATGTAAATGAATAAGTATGTCCAGGGATAGGAAGTTGAGAGAGATCATTAAGTGCTGACTCCATCTTCCTTGAAGAAGTAGGAGGAGACTATGTTGCCATATTCTATACAACAGAGTTGCAGTATATTCTCCTGAGAGGATTGGGGGAAAGCATTGAATGATGACATGAGAAGGGGATGGTTAGAGGAAGGATTGGAATAGATAGGAAAGAATTGAGAAAAGACTAATACATGGATTGATGAGTAATTCTGAGTATCTGGATTAAGTAGGAGATTACAAATTTATTGGTGCCAATCAGACAGAAGATTTTTCTTAGCAGCAATTATTTACTTGAAAATGGAACCAGAATAGGTAGGTGGCTTAGCATATTGATCAGGAGATTCCGTTTTGCAGGTGTTGTTACAGAAGGATAAGAATACAAGAGAATTGAAGACACGTTAATGAGACAGTGTTTCAGACGTTGAGATATGTCTGAAATGAATAAGAAAGAAGAGATACAAAGAAAAGTGGCACATCAAGGTTTTATGTTCTGAGATTATAAGGCATTGACAGAACTAAAGACAGTAAAGCATCATATTAAAGACCGCAAGTCCTGCAAGGTGACAAACCTGGTTTCAGATCCCAGTTCAACAACTTGCTAGTCATGTGGTCTAAACTTTTCTTTACTGTAAGGTATGGATGATAATGCCTACATATTTACATCTTAGAGAAATGAATATTTAATGAAAAAATTAATGAAATCTTGGCACATGATAAGCATTCACTGTCAGCTATTATTATTTTAAGGTGGTAGATTTTGAATAGAGTTGATTACAGGGGTTTAACTTTTCAGAGTATCGTCATTCCAAGGTATTACAATAGGTGTGTTTAGGTAAAGGCTGTTATGGTGAAAATAAATATGGTAAACAAAACAAAAAACTGGTATTAACAGGCTTTAGGATGCCTAGTTGAGAATTGCTTTGGTGTGTGAGGAGGCTGAGTTTTCTTTATCAGCATAGGGAGAGTGAGTGTTGACCATGGGTCAACACAGCTCAGAAAGCAGTACAAAAGAATTCGGATTTGGGCTGGTGTTGTGGCTCAGAGGTAGAGTGCTCGCCTAGCATGCACGAGACACTGGGTTCCATCCTTAGCACCATATAAATGTAAAATGAAGATATTGTGTCCACCTAAACCTTAAGAATATTTAAAAAAAATTCGGATTCTTTGTGGTTTGAACATGCCTCTAGTTTATTAACCATGTCACTTTAATTCTTTATGCGTACCTCTTTCAACTAGAACTGTAGATTCTTCTCCCCTACTTGGGAGTTATTTTCAAGATGAAATTTTTTAAAAGTATATAAAGTAAGAAAGAGTATGTTTTGCTTAAGTATAGACCATTTTGTAAAGAAACAGTACTATCATTCTGGAGCAAAGAAAGTATGAGCATAGGTATTATTACTACACTTTGAAAAAAAATTAAGTGCAGTCTAAGGCTAATTTGGATAAGTACATTTTAGTTGTCATTTTTTAAACCCGCTTCTCCAACTTTAACTTTTTTCTTAAGGTTTCACATTTCGTCAGCCCATGACAAACAAAGAGTTTGGAAAACTAAAGATCAATTCAATAGCTTCACCAGATGGCTCTTGAAGTTAATAGTAACTCCAGCATCTCTTTGAAACAAACAAACAAATTAATTAAAACACCATCCAGGGCTGGGGTTGTAGCTCAGTGATAGACTGCTTGCCTCACAAGCATGAGGTACTGGGTTCAATCCTCAGCACCACATAAAATAAATAAAATAAAGATATTTTAAAAAAATACAAATAGCCAGCATGGTGGCTCACACCTGTAATCTTAGCAGCTCAGGAGGCTGAGACAAGAGGATCACAAGTTCAAAGCCAGCCTTGCAACTTAGGCCCTAAGCACCTTACCAAGACCCTGACTCAAAAATAAAAAAAATAAAAAGGGCTGAGGATGGGGCTGAAGTAATAGCTCAGTGGTAGAGCACTTGCCTAGCATGTGTGAGGCACTGGGTTTGACTCTCAGCACCACATGAAAATAAATAAATAAGATAAAATTATTGTGTCCATCTATAATGTATATATATGTGTGTGTGTGTATATATATATATAATAGGCTGGGGATGTGGCTCTAAAGCACCTCTGGATTCAATCCCCAGTACCCACTCCCTGCAAAAAAACACCATCTAGAAGCTTTAAATTAACATTTCTGGTTCAACAAAATACAAGTAATTTGTAAATATCAACAGTTCTCTGTTGGTTTTTTCAAATTGCCATACTTACATTGCAGACAAAGAATAGCTGTAAGTATTTAAACATGATTACATGTTTAAAATGTCAATAATTTTAACATTATAAAACATGTTATTAACGTTAATTTTTAACTTTTAAAAGGAATACAAGTTAGTCTTCATGTATGCTCTTTCACTTAATTATTATGCTGCTAAAATTGCTTGCTAAAGGTACTATTAGCAGTGTGCTGTGGCACACACCTGTAATCTCAGTGATTCAGGAGGCTAAGGCAGGAGGACTGCAAGTTCAAGGCCAGTCTTGGAAACTTAGGGAGACCCTGTCTCTAAATAAAAGATCAAAAGGGAAGGTGAGGGCTAGGGTTGTGGCTCAGTGGTAGAACACTTTCCTAGCATACATGAAGCACTGGGTTTGATCCTCAGCACCATATAAAAAAAAATAAGCAAATAAAATAAAGGTATTGTGTCCATCTATAACTAAAAATTTTTTTTTTTTAAAAGGACTGGTGATGTGATGTAGCTCAGTGGTAGAGTGGTTCTGGATTTAATCCCAGTTTTTTTAAGTACTATTATTAGGGATTTAGTATAGTTAATTTCCTTAGAATTTTTTTCTCACAGGAGAACATTTCATACATGAGCCTTCTAAAGAAAACCTGCACTCTTAACTTTCATTAAGATATTATTTTTAAGCTACTGTGTTAGGCTGCTATATAACTCAAGTCACTTGAAATCCAATAGAAATAGGGAAAAGATGTATAAAGAAGATTAAAGAGACTACACATTTAAAACCCCAAAATACTTAAAATAGGTGGGTGTGTAAATTCAGTAGTAGAGCACTTGCTTAGTACCCAGTCTTTTCATTGTTAATTTTGAGACAGTGTTTTGCTAAGTTGCTTAGGGCCTTGCTAAATTACTGAGGCTGGCCTCAAATATTTGAGATCCTCCTGCCTCAGCTTCTGGAATCTCTGGGATTAAAGATATAAACCACCATGCCCAGCAATTTTCCAAACCTTATGGATAAACAATTAAGACATAATATTCAGATTTTTTTTACACTGAGCTACACCCCCAACTTTTTATTTTGTATTTTGAGACAGGGTCTTACTAATTTGCTGAGGCTGGCTTTGAACTTGCAGTCCTCCTGCCTCAGCCTCCTGTGCTACCGGGATTACAGGTGTATGCCATCCTGCCCAGCTTAAATATTTACATTTTAAAATAAGAGCATTAAGCTAGATTACTTCTGTTTCTTCCCATTTAAAAAAGAAATTTAAAAAAGCAGAACAATTCTATGACACTAGAAAAGAGTTGCCCTCATCTGTGTAAGGTTATTTCTGGAGTTGGGGAGGATATTCATATATTTCCAGTGGAAGAACTGAGTGACTCAAGAGACAAGGAAAACACTGGAAACATGCAGTAGACTATCTTCAATAGAACAGTGAGAAGTCTCCTTATTAGGATAGTTGCCATCATCTTAATGTGCAGCATGAATCAAATGGGGAATTGCTAGGGAATCACTATGAACAATGGCCACATTGACAAAAGCTTTAAGGATATTAACATGTCCTTGGATCTGCTGCTCAAGATTAAAATCTTAGGCAAATATCTATCCTTTGAGTCTGTTTTTTTAGTTTCTAAAATAAAAATATACATGCATAGATTTGTATTTATAAGATTAGACCAGACAATATCAAAGAGGTCTTCCAATACCCTGTTGCATATTAGTCTATCTGTGAATGGTAGGCTAACTGAGGAAAGTATATGATGTTGTGATGAGAGTAACTGTTATAGACCTGGATCTACTAATTATTTGGGTTTAAAGGGAAATCATTATCAGGTGAGTGCTATAAATTATGGTAAAATAAAATCTAAAAACAGTATAATTACTACAAGTTTTTCAGCATGTGTAAATATTTTATTATTAAGTTGAATGACAATTCCTGCAACACTTTCTAATGGAGCTTATTTTGAAATAGATGTGTCTATATCTATAGATACATATAAAAATATACTATTAAACTTGTTTACAAAGGATAATTGTCTTTTATTTTTGACTACGTATTTGCTTAAAATCAGTGAATTTCTAGGCCAGGTTCTGTTAACTAGAGGAAGTATATTGTCTAGATCCAAGGTATGTTGCAAACATAGTCTGAAATGGGAAACAACATCTTTCTGAAGAAAGGCTTAGAAATTCTAATCCAGTAAGTTTAGGTGTTTTCCTTTCGGTGGTAGCTGGGCTGATTGATACATGGCTGCTAGGTCACCACTTATAGGCATAGCCATAAAAACAGGGTACAGACTTCTAAAACAAAATGGAATCCACTCCATGTCATGCTATGGGTTTCACAATTCAAATCATCTGTACTCAAAGGTAAAAATCTTTGGAAGATGCATTCACTGTCAAAAATGGGAACACTGCCATTGATAAGCCAACAGCTATTTGGGCCTGTGTCACATGCAAGACGCCCCAAAAGACTGTTTTGGTATTAGGCCACAAAGAATAATGTGTGGATCCATGTTCAAGTAGATTCCTTTCTGCTTCTGGTTGTTGTTCAATTTTTTCTGGCTATGATAAAAAAAAACCTGAGTTTTCTTTGATAGTATAAGGCGGTTTGTGATTTTCCATCTTGACCCTGTTGCTCTCTTCCCAACAGCCAGTGCCTCTCTAGTTCTTCCTCTAACCCACCAAGGCTTAAGGTACAACCTTTACTCCACTCATCCCACGCAGCCATCATTGGCTGACATGACTCCGCTATAGAAAGGATAATTAACTTCTATTAAATGTTTTTAAAGATTCTCAGGCATTAATTTCTAAGGAGAAATTCCTAACCCAACAACTACTTGCCACCTAGTGATAGCTCCATAAATTACAGTTATTAGATGTAAAAAGAATTCAATTCCTAAGGATACTGGCCATTCAATTTTAGGTTAAACATTTTGGGGGGAACTTATACACAAAGCATTTTTATTCCCTTTCCAGTCCAATTACTTGAACAGTTTACCTTTTATAGAACATTCAGTACATTTCCATGACAAGTCTGATTCATAATGCTTGAGACTTAAACATCTTTGATGCTTTAAAAGTTCAGGTATGACAGATTCTTTGCTTGACCAAACTTAAGTCAGGCTCCTAAACTTCTTCAGCTCACCTATGTACTTTCTTGTAAAATAGTTTTAACAAAGAACGCTAAGTCAGTTTAACAGGAAAACTTCTCACCCTCTGTATTTGATCAGGTTTCTCATCCTCCATCACCCCCTCGGTAATGTCTCATCACCCTGGCTTGTCTTCAGCAAAAATCCTGTTAGTCTGTTAGCAGACTCTTTTACTTCTGAAGTTTCTTCACAGTAACTTTCCATCCATTGACCCTGTCTTAGTCTATTTTTTGCTATAACAGAATGCCTGAGACTGGGTAATTTATAAAGAATAGATTTATTTATTAAGAGTTCTGGAGGCTAAGAGATTCAAGGTTGAGGGGCCCAAATATGGTCAGGGCCTTCATGTGGCATCAACCAATGGCAGCAGGCAGAAGGGCAAGAAAAACTGCATATAGGGGCAAATGCCATTTTTAAATTTTTTTAGTACTGGTGATTGAACCAGAGGCACTTTACCACTGAACTATATTCCTTTTTACTTTTTATTTTGAGACAGTCTCACTAAGTTTCTGAGGGCTTTGCTAAGTTTCTAAGGCTGGCTCTGAACTTGCAATCCTGTCTCAGCCTCCTAAGTCACTGGGCTAGAATTGATAATTTTTTTAAAAAAATATTTATTTATTTAGTTAGTTTTTTTGGCATACACAACATCTTTATTTGTACGTGGTGCTGAGGATCGAACCCAGGGCCACACGCATGCCAGGTGAGCGCGCTACCGCTTGAGCCACATCCCCAGCCCTAGAATTGATAATTTTAAAAGGTATTTGGGGGCTGACGTGTAGCTCAGTGGTACAGCACTTGACTAACATGTCCAAGGTCCTGAATTTGATCCCTGTTGCTTTTTTTTAAAAAAAGCTATTTTGATAAGGTTATTCCATATTCTCAGCAGAGTATAACAGGAGATGTTGGGCTGGGGTATATTTGAAGAATGTGACTTGAAGAATAACCCAGTTCCTCACAGGAAAAACATCTAAATTGGTAATGATAGTTTCTGCCTGTTCAGGATGAGATTGTGGGAAATCAAGAGAACTACTTTCAATGGGGGCTTACCTTTTTTATCTCCAATCATATCACCTAGAAATTCTAGCAGTTGTATTATTTGGTTGAAGAAAGTATTATGCTGCCAGCATCTTCTTGTTACATTATCTATAAATTATATGCTAATAACCAGCATCACACAAACATAATCACTTTGCAACTCTGTAATGATAACCAGACTCGGTCTAGGAATTACTGGGACCAGACCCTAACCCAATAGAATCCAAAATATGACTGGAGTAGACAGCTCTTTCACCCTACTCAACATCCATGTTTTCACCTCAATGATATTTCGGGAAAGAACTGTTTTTAAACATCTGAGTAGGGCTCTCCATCAAAGCCCCTCAAACCATAGGACTGACATATAATCCCAGGTAAGGGTAAACAGACTGCTAGGCATTTGACTCATGAGCACAATGGCACAATATTAAAAAAATAAAAGAGCTGAGATATTTTGATGGTAGGACTCTAGAAGGTCTGACTCTCAGCTTCTATAACCTAGATTCCTAAAGTTACCCTATTTTTATCCTTCCTAAGGCTGTTGGCCCAGCTTTTGCTTAGATTTTACAAACTATCTTCTGTCCTGATAACTTTTGTCTTGCTGAAGTTAACCCAAGGAAGTTTCTTCTGCTTGTAGTCCAAAAAGCCTGTGTGATCCATTCACTACTGAGTCAGCTGTTTCCTTAAACTGGAAAGCTGTACTTTTACTCTGGTGGTGGTGAGCTCAAATGCAGGGCCTTAGGCTGGGCAAGTGGTCTACTACTGAGCTACACTCCCAGTCCTAGAAAAGCTAATGTTTATGTTTAATGTTAATGTTTACTGTGGATGATACTAAAGAAATTTTTAAAACAAAACACATTTCTTCCAGAATAATAGTGACCAAAAAACCTTCAGTAACTGGCTTTAGTCTCCACTTTTCAAACATACTTTAAATAAAAAATGATTATACATACATATATTAGTCCTCTTTATTCTGTATAAATAAGATTACAACTTTTAAATAAAATGCTTAGTTCTAAGAAATAGAGAACTAAAATATGTAAACATTTTGGCTAATGCCAAGTCAAAGTCCCACAAAACTACCTTCTATTGAAAACCGAGTGGGGAGACAGTTATGACTGTGTTTTCACCTATGAAGAACTCAACTGCATTCACTCTTTCATCTTCTAAGGATATTTTCAGAAACAGCATAAACAGCTCCGAAGTGAAAACATGGGCTGAGTTACAGCTTACTACAATGACCCACCTAAGACTCTTTGAAAATTAGCCACAGATTGAAATATTTACATAAGTTCAAGACTTTGTTCAACAATGAAACATTAACACAGGTCCTTAAGCGCCTTTAAAAATAACAAATTTTTCAGTTTCAACCAATCAAAGCTTTCATTCAGAAATGTTTCTTAAATATCAAATTTCTCTTCACAGACACTGTGTCCGTTTTCTTCATAATCTTCTCTTGTAACCACCATATCTTCAAAATCGTCATTTTCTGATATCAGTTTTCCACCTTCCCAGGCATAAGTAATAGGGCTGAAAATGAAGATTAAAAAAAAATGAACCCAGATGATTTTACAGAAATTAACTGATGATTTACGGACATGAACAACTGAAAGCTTCAGACACTAATTACCAACTAAAATATTTCAAGTTCTAGCCAAATGAACTTAAAAGGAAAATCACTCAAGGCGTAGAAATAAGCAAAAGTTTCACATCAGTTAATTCAAAAGGCAAGGAATCTTGGTTACAAACCACTGTAAAATAGTGAGGTTTCTGCCCCTCAGTGCTGTGGTACATGCCTGTAATCTCAGAAACCCAGGCAGCAGAGGCAAGAAGATCTCAAGTTCAAAAACAAAACTAAAAATAAAATAAAAATTTAAAAGGGCTGGGAATGTGGCTCAGTAGTAAAGCGCCCCATGGTTCAATCCCCAGTAACACCACACACCCAGGGGAGATGGGCTGAGGTTGTGGGTCAGTGGTAGAGCACTTGCCTAGCCTGTGTAGGCACTGGGTTTGATTCTCAGCACCGCATATGAATAAATTAATAAATAAAATAAAGTTCCACTGACAATTTTAAAAATATTTCTAAAAAAATGGGAGGGGGAGTTCTCCAATTCCCCTGATTTATCAACTCTCTATTTTGATAAAAATATAAGCTAAAAGATAACTAAAAGGAAAAATAATGTCATAATTGAGTCTAAGTTCTGCTTGTGACAAAGATATGTCACCTAATTAATTCTCATAGCAACTCATGAAAGCTATTATAACTCCACTTTATTTAGAAAGGTTAAATCTGGAATTAGGATTTAGCCTGGATTTAGGATTTAACTCAGAATTTTCAGTCTGTTCTTTTGCTGCCATATTTTATTGCAGCAATAATAAACACATTTTAAAACACTGCTTGATAAACAATTACATGCTAGGACATACACAATAGGTCAAAATTAGAGCAGATAAGATATTTAAGTTTGACTTTGCTATCTGCAACAAAAGTTACACTCTGTGTTATGACTCAATACTATTTCTACTTTTCTTCTCTCCCAATTTAAGGAGTTTCAAATCTGAAAATGGTAAAGAAAAAAGCTAAGCAAAAAATATTCTCTGTATTTCCTAACCTTTTATAAAAACAGATTTACATATATCTCTTTTATTTATATTTTTATGAAAGATATATATGTGTATACATATATAATAGATGCACAATCAAGATTTATTGAATGAAAGAATAAAAACTGGGGCTGGGGTTGTGGCTCTGTGGTAGAGCGCTCACCTAGTATGTGTGAGGCGCTAGGTTCGAGCCTCAGCATAACATAAAAATAAATAAAATAAAGGCATTGTGTCCAAATACAACTAAAAAAATATTTTAAAAAAAGAATAAAAGCTATTTCTGTGGATCCCCTGGCCTGTGATGTGTTTATGTAGGATGAAAAAATAATATTCTATGGGGCATGGTGGCACATGCTTATAATATCAGCAATTTGGGAGGCTGAGCAGAACCAACCTTAGTAACTTAGTACGACTCTGTCTCAAAATACAAAAATGACTGGGGATGTAGCTCAGTGGTAAGTACCCCTGGGTTTAATCCCCAGTACCCCCCACCCACACACACAAATGCAATATGGTTCACATTCTAAAGAGTATACAAACATTATTATTGAAAAAAATCATTCCAGTATTTAACAACTTTTTATTCCTTTATTTATTATCTATAAAAGAAAATGATCTAATGACGGTCTTCTGTTAATTGCCATTAACTTTGAAAAGTTTTTCTTTAGATTTAAAACAAAATTCTAAAATCAACTAGAGTTAGGTATGTGGGGTTTTGTTTGCAACTCTGCTACTAACACTAACGGTGGATTATTTAGACATACCTTTGGTAAGTAACTCCTAGTTACTGCTATTGTTGAATAAAAAGCCTTTGTTTATTTATAATATAAGAACAGTGAACAAGATAGCCTGTAAACCCACGCTATGGCTCTAAAATTCTACCTTAATTTTTTTATTGCTAAAGTGGAAATGACAGTATCTCTCTTTCTCATAAACAGAGTAGGAGGTAATATAAAACAATTTTAAATTAAAAAAAGACTAATTCAAATATAAAAGTTCATTGAAAACATTTAGAATTTTTAAAATTCTAAAATTTTTTAAAATTCCATATAACTTAATGGTTCAATTCTTATAATTTCTTTTTTGGGGGCAGTATACTGGAGATTGAACTCAGGGGCACTGAACCACTGAGCTACATCCTCAGCCCTTTTTTGTATTTTATTTAGAGACACAGTCTCACTGAGTTGCTTAGCACCTCGCCATTGCTGATGTTGGCTTTGAAACCATAATCTCCCTGCCTCAGCCTTCTGAGCCACTGGGATTACAGGCAAGTGCCACTGACAATTTCTATTCTTGATAGAAACTGTCAAGAAATGACATCTCGGGCTGGGGTTGTGGCTCAGTGGTAGAGTGCTCACCTGGCACAGACAAGGCCCTGGGTTCAATCCTCAGCACCACATAAAAATAAATAACTACAACTAAAAAATAAATTTTAAATTAATTAATTAATTGATTAATGATATTGTATCCAACTACAACTAAAAAATAAATATTTTTTTAAAAAAAGAAATGACATCTCAGGTAATCCAATAAATGATAATTCAATTTCTTTGCCTATAAAAATCTCTTAGGAATAAGGACTGATTTACCATATGAATTGGTCTAATGTTAGTTATGTACAAACATGATGGCTGATATTTTATACTTCATTTCATTTTTTCATATTTACTTTTTAGTTGCAGTCGGACACAATGACTTTTATTTATTTATTTTATATGTGGTGCTGAGGCGAACACTTTACTGCTGAGCCACAACCCCAGCCCTTCATTTCATTTAATTCACTAAAATGGTTTATCATTTTAATTTTTGAGATAAGAAAATGAAGATCCAACAAGTGAAATGCCAAGGTGGTAAAACCAGATTTTAAACTCAAGTCTCCTATATACCACCTTACCTACCAGATGACATCCATGCTTTATTTCTATATAAACCAACACTTACTTTTCAGGCAGCACAACAGAAACATCATAATCTGTGGGAGTGAGACATCGAACTTCTGAATAAACTCGATCCCTAAATCCTGGGAAGAGGGAATTTCCTCCTGTCAAGACAATGTTCTTAAAAAAATGTGGTTGCATTTCTTTAAAGGAAAAAAGAAAGAAGGAAAAAAATGCATTAGAAAATCTGTTCACTTAACTTTCTGGAAAGACATGGATGAGGGTTTAGGTAAGATGTGATTAAGGTTTAGAGTTATTAATTGAGAACTATACAATTTTTCAGTTTATACAAACAGTATAAACTCAGATCTATAAAAGAAAAGGCTAAAGTTAGGAGGGTAACTACTGGCTACTAATTCACATGCAAGCTATACAAATGAGTATCATCCTACCACAGACATTTGATAATTATAATCCTTCCTCTACTGTAGAATGAAAAGGTCTTTCATGAAATTTTATTTATTTATTTTTTGGGGGGGCTTATCCCAGGGATTGAATTCGGGGGCACTCAACCACTGAGCCACATCCCCAACCCTTTTCATGAAATTTTAAACTTGAAGCCCAAATTTCCAAAGTAAGATATATTTATTCTTTAACACTTTACTTTTGAAAAAAAAAAAAAAAACCTATAATCTATGACAACATTTAAAGAAAGGATCTAAGTGTGAGTGCTCATTAGATGTACCATGGCAAACATTAATGGCCATAAGGTTAGTCAGTATTAAAAGTCTACAAAAGCATCACTGAGAAATCTCATCCAATGTTTCTATTCACCAAAAAAAGGAGTTTCCTTATATTAACAAACAGAATTTCATGACATAACATTAAAGCAGTATAGAACAAAATGTTGTATATGGCATGATAGTATTTTTATACAAAATGTGAAATTAATAAAAAAACATGAAATAAATGCAAAGGTGATAGCTTTATGACCTTTCTTTCTTTTTAATGCAATGAAAGCATACTACATGTGCTAATTTTCTCTAATGCCTAGGTGGTTCCTTATGAAATAGAAAGATAAGATAGAAAAGTACTCAAACTCTGGAATATTATTTACTTAAATCATGCTTTAGGAGAACCCACAAATCACAGCAAAGTACAATAATCCAATCTCATTAAAATTAATCTTACATGTTAGTCCAAATATAACAGAATAAGTCAGTTCCATCAATAGCTGAAAACCACTAAATTGTGAAAATATAAATTTCTATTCTGTGTTAATTAGGGCTAAATTAAATAGACCATGACTTTACAAAAAAAAAAAAATTTATAATCCAAAACAAATCAGTTAAGAATTATTTAAGCACATTATGGGATCTGAAAGTCTATATAAATAAAACAGATGCCATTTACTTAAAATTATTTAGAAAAAACAGTGATCATATAGCTTATTGTTTTGAAAACTATCATTATTCTTCAATATTTTACTGTAATTATCGATGTACCTTCAGGTAAGTTTTGAATTGAATAGACAATAGCTTCTGGAATTCCCATTTCTTGGATGCCTATATCAGAAGGATTAAAGAGTATTTCTGGAACAGCAAATCTCTCATTGGCCAGACGAAGAATTTGTTCTCCAGATTTATATTTTCCACTCAACACCATCTCTTCCCTTGGCTTAAAGAAAAGTAAGATAAAAAGTTTAAGTTATATTACCTAGTTCACATGACTAAAAATAATAATAGGTATATGAATATATTAACTGTGTTCTTGGAAGTTTCAGAATTCTCAAAAACTATAAAAATCTAGCCTTAGATGGCCAAAACTATATAAATAAAACATTACTGACTCTAATATGCCTATTCCCCCAATGATAATCTAGCAGTTTTATTCCCTACATTCTAAAAAAGAAAGAAGAGCATAGAAGAAACTTCATAATCTACCTACACTGATCCAAATTTCTAGAGAAGGAACATAAAGACTTTACTATGTCTTGTGTTCCTATTACCATCTACTTTTTTTTTTTAATATATTTTTGTTTTAGTTGTAGGTGGACACAATGCCTTTATTTTTTGTTTATTTTTGTGTGGTGCCAGGGATCAAACCCAGTGCCTCACGCATGCTAGGCAAGCATTCTACCACTGAGCCACAACCCCATCCCACCATCTACTTTCATTACCCTACTTTAGATTTGACATTTATTAGACATGTAGTTCCATTCTATTAGGATTTCTTCTTTTCCTTACACACACACACACACACACAAAAAAAAACACCCTAAATCTTTACATTTTTTTACTATTTATTCACTCTATCAAAAATCAGTTTCCAGGGCTGGGGTTGTGGCTCAGTGGTAGGGTACTTTCCTGGCACAGGTGAGGCACTGGGTTCGATCCTCAGTACCACATAAAAATAAATAAATAAAAATAAAGGCATTGTATCTACCTACAACTAAATAATTTTTTTTAAAAAAATCAGTTTCCAACTGATTTAAGTAAATACATGGTTTTTATCCTTGAAATTATAATGCCAACATTATATGAGGCCAGTTTTCCTTGCTGATTTCTGACTTGTGTTTCACCTCAATAATCTGGCCAAAAAATACACACACACACACACACACACACACACACACACACACACACATACACAAAAGTTTCAGGTATGCTAAGTACTAATAATTACATAAAATTCAAGT